ATGTGAAATTCTCTTGAAGAGCTTGGAGCTCTTCAGTCATTGCTTTTATCCATCGCACATCTTTAACAGCCTGTGAGTAACAAGTAGGAATAGATATGCTAGAGAGTGTGGCAGTCAGAGAAGTATGTGAGGAATCATACCTGTCTGGTGAATATCTATCTGGTGCGCGGGATATTCGACCAGAACGTCGTGGTTCAACCGGTACAGGATCAGGTGGCAGTTCAGCATCGGGAAGGGGTGTGGGAACCTGTTGTCTGTGTTTTCTGACATATACATGACCTGGTTTATAACGTTCTATAGCTTGAGGCATAATAGAAAACTTAGGAAGAGTAACAATATCATTAATGGCAGGAGAACCACAGGGAAACATAAACTGATTATCAAAAAATGTCACATTTCTAGAAATGCGAAAACGATGGTTAGAGACATCATAACACACAAATCCCTTATGAGAGTTACTATATCCCATAAATGCACATTGAACGGATTGTGCTCCAAGTTTATGCCTTTCAAAAGGAGGTAAGTGAACAAAACACACACACCCAAAAGTATGTAAAGCACTATAATCAGGATGAATTTTAAATAGACGGAAGAAAGGAGAATCAAGATCAATAACTGTAGAAGGAATACGATTGATCAAGAAGACAACCGTGGAAAGAGCCTCCACCCAAAATCGGGATGGTACAGAAGCTTGGAGAAGTAAGGTGCGTGTTACATCAAGCAAATGACGATTCTTACGTTCTGCCGTGCCATTTTGTTGAGGGGTATTGGGACAAGACCGTTGAGACAAGATGCCTTTTTGTTGAAGGTATTCCTGAAACTCATGAGACATGTACTCACCACCAGAGTCAGATCGAAAAATTTTAACACTTGCTTGAAATTGAGTTTCAACATAAGTCAAATATTTCTTAAACATAGAAAACACTTCGGATTTAGAACGGAGAAAATATATCCAAGTAAAACGACTATAATCATCAATAAATGTGACAAAATATTTATAGTGAGCATGAGAAACCACAGGAGACATTCCCCATACATCACTATGAATCATCTCAAAACAAGTGGAAGCACGATTAGCACCAGACGGAAAAGGAAGTGTCTTACTTTTAGCCAATTTGCAAACAGAACATGAAACAGATGCATCAGGAATAACATTTTTATTTCCCAACAAGCCACTTTTACCTAAATGAGACAAAACAGAAGAGTTTGGATGACCTAGTTTTCTATGTCAATCCTCATAGGAATTCAAAACATTATGACAAGCAAGAGACAAATGATTAGAAATAAACTGTATTGGAAACAATCTTCCCACTTTAGGCCCCTTCGCGATCACTTTCCCCGACACCTGCTCCTGCACAAGACAACCAGATCGAGAAAAATTAACATTACAATTATTGTCCACCAATTGACCAACAGACAATAAATTAGAAGCAAGTCCAGGTGAGACAAGCACATTCTGAAAATCCGAGTTTATGTCCCCAACGTTAGTGATAGACAAGGTATTACCATTAGCAATCTGAATTTTCTGATTACCATGATAAGAATGTAAATTGTGCAAGTTTTCAGATGAACCTGTCATGTGATTGGATGCACCAGAATCAATAAACCATGGACGAGAAACATGAGAAGACTTACCCTTAATACCCAAGGCTGAAAGGGCAGAAAGTACCATGTGTTGAATCATTTCAGGTTGTAGAGCATTGCCATTTGATGCACCAGTGGTGGAAGAGCCAATTGTATGGCCTGTAGTGGCATGAAATGCCTTCGCCGAATGATGTGCTGGTCGTGGAGGACGCGTGGGACAGTCAGAAATGATATGACCTTGTTGTTTGCAATAATTACAAAACTTCTTACTGCAGCTACGAGCAATATGTCCAAACTGTTTGCAAGAAAAACATTGGACATGTTGCATATCACGACCTTTATTTCTACTTTGAGCAGCATATGCAATTGCCACAGGCTCAGAACTGACAGTATCATGAGACATGGTTCCTTGAGTAAGGAGACGTTGTTCCTCCCTGAGAAGTTCACCAACACATGTATCCAAAGAAGGAACAGGATTCCTATTTAGCAAAGCACCTCTGACAACCTCAAATTCTAGACGAAGCTTCATGAGGAATTGATCTCGCCTACTTGTGTTGTAGACCTCTTGAACAGCCGCAAGAGGGGTCTTGGGAACATTAGCATGTATAATAGCAGAGTGTTCTGCCCAAAGATTTAAAAAACCAGAATAGTATTCTTGAATAGACAAATCACCTTGTTTGTAGTTGGCGATGTCTAACTCCAACTGAAAACGTTTTGCCGAATTGTCCTGGTTGTAAATGCGCTTCAGATAATTCCACATTTCTTGAGCAGTTGAAAAAGAACGCAAATTATTTATCATCTGAGGATCAATACTGTTTAGAATCCAAGTGATAATTTGAGCATCTTTAGTTTCCCACGCATCTAAAGCAGTCTTCTCCGTTGGTGCCTTAGAAACATCATCTAAGTGACTCCATAATCCCTTTCCTTTAACATACATCTTGAACTGAAATTCTCATGCCGAATAATTCTTGTCGGTAAAACGAACACAAAAATTATCTCTTTCTTTTTCGGAAGCCATCTAAATTATTAAACCACCAGATACAATCTCACTAATATTATTTTATTATTATTATAATAATAATTATAATAATAATAATAATAACTATAATATAATAACAGTGACTGTAATCACAGTTACTAGGGCAGCAACAAGAAACAATACCCACGAACCAACGAACAACAGCACGATCAAATCCACGATTTAGAAGGAGCGGCAAAACAGAAGATTATGACGATCCAGAATCACGAAGCAACAACAGCCAAGAACCAAAAAAAATTGATTGCAATATCAGCGCAACAACGAGAATCTCCAAGACGAAATCACGAACCGGCAACCAAAGATTTAGAATCTCAGACAGCTGCAAGGTTTCGATTTCAAACGAAAGAATTTCGAAACGAACACGATTACGAGAGCGAACCAGTGGGGTATCGTTGATCAGCCAATATAATAATATTTTCCAGGTTTGATCGAACCTACTGATACCATGTCACGAAATTTGGCTTGATGCCTTTCTCATTGCCTTTCATACTATATATAATAGTGTCGGTAATTACAACTCATAATAACTAATTATAGCTGATAATAACTAATTACAATTCATAATGACTAATTTCCTATTCTATGAATGTAAATTATTCACAATAACTGCAAAGATTATTTCCTAATTAACAGATTAATACTAAAAGAAGACTAGTTCTGAAATCACTACTTGCAAAAAAATAGAACATTTAAGTCCTTAATCAATGCAGTGAAGGTTGACTACTTTAAAACTATGATTCAAGACAAGAAGATCATTATATGGTACAAGTACAAGAGATATAACAATTTTAATTTTAACACCATAACCTATATTAATTCAAAGAAGATGGTGCTATGCATGCCTAGAATTATACCTCTTGACAGCTCTTGCCCAACATGCCTGGTAGGAAGAAACCATCAAGATGTAATGGAGATTGACTGCATTGCAACTATGATTTAAGACATGGAGAGTATCATATGGAATAATAGGTATGTCCATTTGAATTTCAATAGTTTAAGCCAACTTATTCAAAGAAGATGGTGATATGAATACCTAGAATTACCGTTCATGAGAACTCTTGCACATCATGCCTGCTAAGAAAGTATCCAAGATGAAACTTCACTAACAAATTGCTAATGAGATTAATTGAGGTACTTAGTGTAGTTCATTCAGACATTTGTAACCACTTTGATGTGTTATCCTTAATTGGAAACAATTACCTCATCATATTTGTAGATGAACTTTCAAGCATATTGTGGCAATATCTGATTAAGGCTAATACTTCATCAAGTCAAGTATGCTAAAGGGATTATAAGAAAATTTTAAATGCTTTGACTGCAACATTACAGTGACACTGACAGAGGCGAGACTAAAGCTCATAGAACACAAAGATGATGAAGCTATGGATCCTATTATGTTAAGACAATTGATTGGCTCATTGAGGTGTCTATGATATGGCAAAGTAGATATGATTTTTTTTTCCTATTTGAGTGGTAAGAATATTCATGAGCAATGCATTAAAATATCACCTCTTAACTGTCAAAAGAGTATTGAAATACATCAATGAAACTATCAGTTTTGACATCTTATTTCCTAAGTCACTGATGCCAAATAAATTAGAATTAAAAGGCTTCGCAAAAGCTGGCTGGTGTGGTGATAAAGCATATAGAAGGAGCACGAGTAGCTTTCGCTTCAAGTTTCAAAGATCACCAATTTAAAGGCTTGCCTAGTAGCTTGACTAACAAGTTTTGCTTGTATGTTATTGATTTGTTAGTTCCTTTGGTAGTTAAGAGTTAGTTATGTTTAATTCATTTTAGAAGTAGTTTCTAATTTACTTGTTATGTATGTCAACCAAATTTAGAGGTGATTAGTATGTAAACCAATTTTAGAGGTGATTAATTTACTAATCACCTAGCTCAAATTCTCACTTTTATTAGCTGCTTGAGCTAGAAGGCAACTAGTTAATTTTGGTATTAAATACACTATTACTACCTGATATTACTTTGAATCTACACTAAAAAAGTCAAACATCTAATGCCGTATGAAAATACATCTTTAAGCAAATTATACCTCCAAAAACAAATGTGTTTTTCTTTGATGTGAGAGTTAAAATTAATCCCTAAGATTAAGTGAAAATAAAGGGAGTAAACAAGTATACTACCTAAATCTGCAAAAAGAGAATGTGTATGAAGAATAAATTCTGCAACAAGAAATATAAAGAACCCTTGTTTGTTTCCCCACTCTTATATTTTAATGCATAACATTAGTCCTAGTGTATGTTTGGATTCAGTGTGACTTAGAATTTCTTCAGATAAATAAACTGTTCTAGTTCTAATCAATAATGAAACATATATATACTATGTTACAACTTACAGTAAACAATATTCAATTTCCATACTAATTATCTTTGTCATTGTCAAAAACTACTGTGTATGTAACCTTACTGAGCCTGCTTGGGGATGATGTCTTGGAATCGTTGCCTCTAGCTTTTCTGCTTCCAGTGAACTGAAAATTACCAGAACCATACACTGCTCTGAATGCTAATGCTTTCCCAAAGTGAAACTTTTCAACATGTTGGATGTTTGAAGATCTTTGAACACAATCATCCTCGGTGTTATCTGATATCGCTGCTTTGCCTTTCTCAGTATCCATTCTTTTCTATTTCCTAAATATTAGATGATATGACATTAACTTATAGAGTTTGAAAAAGATCATAGAAAAAGGAAGCAAAATTATTGAGGCTATAAATGATCTCTTGTGAGTTTACTTTTGGGAACGACAAGGACAGAGTTGAAGATGCCAAAAAGATCCAAAGAAACATCTACTACTTGTGAGATTCTTTTACAACTTGTCTTCAACTGGAAGAAAGCAAATATACCATTTTAGATCTAAGTAACCACAATGTGAACACACATGTTATTTATATCTAGAAAGTTCACAAAGTAGCACACTAAGTAGCAGACAAGATTGGATTAATTACTTTTAAGAAACAATTAATCATTTCCTTTTGTTGTAAATAAATTTGTATACAATATTTATAAACACTGTTTTAAAATTTTTCTCTCCTCTCACATCCACTATTTCCTTCTTTTCCCTTTACCTCACCAAAGACACCAATGTAAATAACCTTTATTTTTTTTCCCGTTTCTCACCTATACCTTTCTTTACAAACAAAGTGTAGAGAACAAATTCAAAAATGTCTGATTACAACTTCAGGAAAACCATTAGAAGTATATGTGAATTCGTAAGGAGGATAGATCATTTGTCTATAATTACTCCCAATACTCTGAACTCCTGAAGCCTTCGCCTTAAGACATTTCTATGGTAAAGCTAGGGCAGACAACTTTGGCAGGCTATATAGGAGAATCAAGAAAGATAACTTGCCAAAAAAGCATTGCAGGTTTCTAATAGAAGATATCTACAAGGAAAGTAGATGTACATATCATTGTCTTTTGCATGATTGCATCATCCCTTACAATTTTATATACATCCCTTTCTTGTGGAGGAAACCAGCTAAAAGACCCCAGAATAAAATCTCAATTATTACAAAAGCCAGTGTACCCCACTTCTTGGACTGTAATATGTTCTGTACCAAAGCTTCACTGACATCAACCTGCATGTTGGAAAGGTTCCCAAATTAGCTTTAATGGCCCAGTGGCTGAAAAGGGGAAGGTTGGCCTATTCGGTAATGAAGTAATCTTCTGAAAATCGAAGTCCTGCTTAATTTATAATGAAATACGAGATCGAAAGAACCATTGGAAAAGACACATTACCAAGTTGTTTTCAGGAGAACGATAATAGAAACCCTGGACAACTGCTGGGAAAATGTCACAAGCAGCCAATGCGTACACAATAAGGGCATTCATTCCCATCCATTGTAGTAAAGCTGTAGGCTTTGTGAAACGTTTTATGTCAACCTGCAACAATATATGGATCTGTGAATTCGCAGTTATAATCATCTGTCGGTGATCAGAGTCACCAAGTGGTTGAGCATTGGAGCTACCACTTTTCACTCTTCGCGTGAAAGCCTATCAGAAAATTATATGCTTTTCAACTTGGGATATAATATGCGCGCACGCACACACACACACATTACAACACAAGTACAAGCTTACAATGTAGTATATAGCAGTCAAAACCAAGCCCGATGCCCCTGCGGTGATGAACATGTAGCTTAATGTGTACAGTGCTTTTGATAAAGGAATTCCTGAAAAACTTTACAGTTGTTAGTTGGAGAATCAAATGTATCTTAATCTTGAAAATTTTAAATTAAATAGTACCTAAAATCTCCAGAATATATCCCACTACCAATAAAGAGAAGGAAAACACAGACCAAATGAGTACCCTCTGCTTGTGATCCTGAACGGAAAAGGCAGTAGTTAGGTGATATAGTTACCCACACACACACATCTCAGGGACAAATTCTAAAGGCACTATGAGTTGATTCTTATACACCAGACCTGGAAAATTACAAGTATATGCCCAAATTGCAATCCCACGAAACAAGTAATGGCAGCCATCAGTGAACTGGAAGATTTAATTAAATAGTTAGTAACCGGTGCATTAAATAAATTTTATTACTAAAATTTCCAGTGTTATTTGGCTGAATATAGTTAATGAAAGAATCGATCCTGACTAAGCTTTCTATAGCGGGATACCAATCTAACATTAAAGATAAAAATCCGTACAAGAGAAAGTGGAGAAGTAAATAGATGAACATAAGGCAATCAAAATACACTACACAACTGAAAGAAATAAAATAACATGAGTCCATGACAATAGCTATTTAAAATATATAATATCACCATAGATTTCAATGTTGCAATGACCTACAAAGAAAAAACAAAAGAGGATCATAGCAGGGAATGCTACTGTACCTCAAAATACCCTCCGGGTCAAATGGTGCAAGGCACCACCCAGGTGAATCTGGAGGCAAGGGTCCATAATCAGGAGAATTGACACTGCACTCCTGAAAATGAAAAGGAGGTCAAGAATAAAATCGTTTAAGGGATAAAATAAATGACTTACGTTGTACAAAAAAAATGACTTTGGAGGTGGCATAAGATTCAATACATGAGTTACGCTAGAGAGCATATAACCTTTGTTCTTCTGTAGACAGGACGTTGGTACATATGATCTTCACCAAGAATTAATCTATCAATAAATCCTACCGCATTACAAGGAGGATCAAGGCTACCCCGCACTTCACAATGAACCTGCAGAAGAAATACTAGATGCTTAGTTTTTTGTCCATGAAAAAGATAATACAAAACAAAAACAGCGACCAGCAAAGCATTTCTTTCCACTAGGTGGGGAGAGTCATGAAAATGAAAATAGCAACATAAAATGTAGCTAAAAGCCTAAAATGGAAGTAGAATTCAAGAAAACTAAGACACCATACTTCATGAAGCAAGAAAAGAAATACGAAACATCATGATGTGTCATTGAATGTGAACATATCCATATTCTCTTTAAACTTGACTCTCTTCCCATTATTATTTTCCCAGTCTAGACATTATTATTTTCCAAGTTCGGTATGCACCTTTCACTGTGCTTACATAGCAATGAGCACTGATGCAAGTCTATGTGGATTCATCAATTCATGAAATGCAACCCTAAAGTTTCATTTTTAAGAAATGAGAAGTCTTGTATTAGATAAAGAGATGATTCGTTGTTTCTTGAAATGCAAAGCTGAAGCTGACAGGTCATACAATATTACAGAACAACTTGAAAGTGATAGGGAACTATCACCAACAAGAAACCAAATTGCATGTTAAATCTATCTATGGTAAGGAATGAGTTGCAAGTAAAGTTATGTGCACGGGAAAGCGTAAATTAAACTTCAGCCAAAAACTTCATGATATTCTTTCAGCATTCAATGGCACAAAGTGACAAAACCATGCCAACTCACATTTTGAACAGTTGATACACGACCAGACCAAAGAAAGTTAGAGTGTTCGAACTTCCAATTTGGAACATAGAGGCTGTAGAGCAAGCAAAGGTATACTGAACAAAGTAAGATAGAAAACATCCTGGACAAAAAAAAAACAAGCAGTTAGCACAAAGGAATATCATAAGGCAAAAAAAATTGGTGCCAGCAGAAATTTAATTTTGAAACTTGACATAACATTTCTTGGATCTATTAAAGTAACCTGAAACATTTTGTTATAAGTTGTCCCAACTTACTCTAAGATGCAACTTAGATATTACCAATTTATAAGATATTTTTCATATATTTCAGCAATTTGTTTGTTTGCTTGCAAAAAAAAATATATCTTGAAAAGCTTAAAAAGATAAATTCAGGCTTTTGTTTATTACAAGGGTTATGAAGTTTCCCTAACAAAGTGAAGGAACTTTCTCTAGAATTCCAATCAGTCACATCAACCTTTCATATCTAAGTTCAGAAAACTTATTTATAGACGGCAAGATGGGTTTTTTTTATAAAAAAAAGATGGCAAGATGGGAATTCTTTTTCACTTTCATTATCTAGATTTTAATCCAATCAACGAATTTGAAAGCTATTCAGAATCGCTAAAAAGTACATATCTGAAGCGTGTTTTAATCCATAGTGAAGCACATAAAAAAACTTTGTATGACACAGGAGTGCTCATTTCACATGAGAATGTCAGAATTTAGGGGCATTAGAACCCAAAATAATATTGCATCATTTCATGATTTGTATCCAATAAGTTTGGAGAGAATCTGCATCAATATGTGATGAGATTTGATACAAACTAACTCGACCAAAACAACATAAACCATGATAATGATGAAACATAGCATTAGTGTGAATATTTTATAGTCAAATTATAAATTGAAAATTTTAATTGCCATACTCAGCTCCTAGATGTCAAATAAAAGCATTAATGTTACAAACATAAACTAACCACTGGATGGAGTATTTCCTCGCAAAAGCTGCTGGTGAACCAACCAAAATATTATTGTTCACAAGCCAAATCTCTGACATTGAGGCCAAGAAATATCCAATGGATATCCTCTGCAAACCCCATGCAAGGAATTATGAGTTAAATTAACAACACATTTACAAAACAAAAACAACAGGCAGTTGATTATTTTCTTAATTGTGGCCTTTTTAAGGTTGCAATTCAATTTCCTACTATGAAAGGAAAACCAATTTCAATGACTATATAGTAACTCTTCTACCAACTACAAATCTGCAATCAGCCTTAAGTCAAAACTTCAGTGAGAAAACTCTGTATACTTCATCAAAAACAAATAGAACAGGCGCTGGTAATTACAGTCATGGAGTGGCATTACAAAAAAGATACTCGGCGTGTTTTTCTTATTAACACCATAGATCAAACAAATAAGTTAAAGCAGTAAGCCAATGAATTTGAAACTGTGGGTAATCAGCGGCACAAAGTAAATAAAAAATCTCCTGGATTAGAAATGAACAACGAAAAAAGCCTTTTCCCACTAGGAGGTCAACAACATATTATGAGAAACGCTATGCCGTGCAGAATTGGAAATAAAGAAAAAGCCTAATAAGTTAGATAGTGAGGAATAAGTACTAGTTAAAATTACCTGAAGTACACCAAACCAGCGTATCTTGCTTAAATCAAGGCCATAAGTTAAATTACCGCGTCCATGGAAATACCCACCTACGAATAAGTTTCAAAAAGAAACATTAA